AGCAGTGTAGTGTTTGAAATGGCGGGGTCACTGGCCGTTAACAGTCCCCGCCGAAGTAGTTTTCCGACCAGGAACAAGGAGCCCTACAGTTGCGGGCTTGGTGTCCGAACTTCTGGTGGTAAGAACAAAGCTCTCCCCGATGTTCTCGCTGTCGCCTAGAGACTGATACTGGATTCGCTTGGTACGTCCTCCCTGGGTGGAAGAAACGCCGGTTCTGGAGGACGTCGAGTTGTTGGGTGTCTGTAGTCTGCTGTGTTACACTGGGATGGGACAGCGTAGCGTTATCAGACGTCGTATGAAGCCGGTCTGCCAGTGTAGCCAGCTGGGCTAATGGGGTGTCGTCAGCCATACTGAATAGGGCCGGTTGAATGTGTTTTGGACAGAGTTGTATCCACAGTGATCTCACAATCTCGCTGGGGGCCGGGCCAGTTGCAGTATGCATCACATACTGAATATGCCGCAGAAGCCGAGCTGGTGTTTTGTCTGCTAATCTTTTGTCAGTGAGGAGTTGGTCCCTTTGTTGAATGCGGCGTTTCATTGCTGCCTGTAGAAGAGCGGCCTTCAATGCGGTGTACGTCCTGGTGTCCGGTGATGACAGCGGATGCAGTGTGCATAGCCTCCGAGGTAAGTGTTGGCAGGGTACAGGCATATCGGGCTTTCTCAGTCGAAATTTCGTGAAGGTCGAAAATAGCCTCCATCTGCATGAACCAAAATTCTGGCTCATCTGCGTTGTATGCTGGAAACCTGGTAGATAAATCCATGACGAAGATCTAGTTTGTGACTAGGTGTTCTTTTTCACTCACTGGGTCACCATTGTAACGGTTCTATTGTTACGTAAAGTATGGTGACAAATAAACACAGACACTAAGATACTATACATATATTTGGTCGAATATACAGAAGTACACAGGTGATACTTTGGTGTGAGTTGAGCACACTGAGCGTCGGTACAGTATCTCGCAAGTGTCTGCTCTAGACCACACTTGAAAGTAGACTGGTTAATGTTTGATTGATTGATTGATAAAGATTAAGCCACCCAAGAGGTGGCACGGGCATGAATAGCCCGTAAGTGGTACAATTTTTTTTCCCCAGTGTTCTGAGGTTGCATTTAACCATCAAGCTGTTATCGTGGGGGAGGATACTGCTTCACAGTCTTTATGAGGGTGTCCAGCTGCTGGACACCTTTGTTGACCAGGAGAGTGGCTGTGTTGATGGCTTCAGGGTGGCCACTGCATGATTCAGGAACTCTTAAAGCTCTTCTAAGGTCATTGGTTGCTTCACATTCCAGAAGATAGTGAAGTAATGGCTTTTCAGGGTTAATGTTTGTTATTCTGCTGCTTATATGCTCGGGCAACACCTCACCGTGTTGCCCGGGCAACGCCTCACCCCATTCATCTCCAAAGGTTGACAGGAATATTAACAATGCATTTGGAGCGAGTATATTATTGGGATAATCTACTCGCTACATATCACTCTAATGTAATCTCACCAACCTTGACCCATGACAAGTTATCGCAACACATCATCTTTCAGCTATCCAAGGGACTGAAAATGGTTATTAATAAAGAATACCATGTATATATTCACCTTTATTAAAAACACACATTACATATATATAATAAATTAGTTAGATTGTATTTATGTACAACAGCTTAAATTCAATACCTAAAGAAAGGGAGCTACCGTTTCCTGTTGCATAAGTGACAGAGCCACAGTGATGGCGGCTACCAGAGCCACCAATCAGAGGCCCGCCAACTACCTGAGTCATAATCACCTCCCGGAGACGCCATAGCCATAAGCGGGAAGTGTACAATCATTTTCTCACTCACATTACAACATCAGATTGATTTAACTGGAAACAAGGCGCCAGCGCCACCTTGGCAAGTCAGGCAAGCCGGATTACGACTCCATGGTGACTTACTGTTTAAGGCAAGATTTCCAGTTGAAAAATTTATGTATATATATATACACACACACACACATATACAGCCACAGAAAAACACATGCATACATACACACACACACACACACAGCCACAGAAAAACACATGCATACACAGCCACACACACACACACACTCTCTCTCGCCCTATAATCTAGGCCCAAACTAATTTGTCAAGGCTCAGACTATTCTATGTTATCAAACGGACTGTTAAGAGATAGAACTACATTTGAATAAATAATTAGGACTTTGATTATGCAGATCCTGACCATAGGACTATAATTTTCTCAATATCATAGTTTTTGAAGGTAAGTTACACATACACAATGTATTATATTTTACACATACTGTACTGGGGACATTGTATCAAAGTTAAAGAAATATTGACACAATTTGAGACAGTACAATACATGCTTTAGGATAACAATTACCTACAGGAATATATCCTTTCACATTATGTGTAGACAAACAAATCACATAATTATGGAAGATGGGTTACCAACTTCCAGTTTGCAAACAAAATTATATCTGACCATCCTTATTATTTGTATTTCAACAGCAGCTGCTCATCTTATATTTCTGTAGGCCATTCTGTAACAAATAATTTCTACCTCAGTGTATGCTACAATAAATGGTCGACACAAGAGAGAGAAGAGAGAAGAGAGAAGAGAGAAGAGAGAAGGGAGAAGAGAAGAGAGAAGAGAGAAGGGAGAAGAAGAGAGAAGAGAGAAGAAGAGAGAAGAGAGAAGATAGAAGAGAGAAGAGAGAAGAGAGAGAGAGAGAGAGAGAGAGAGAAGAGAGAGAGAGAGAGAGAGAGAGAGAGAGAGAGAGAGAGAGAGAGAGAGAGAGAGAGAGAGAGAGAGAGAGAGAGAGAGAGAGAGAGAGAGAGAGAGAGAGAGAGAGAACTTTAACATGTGAAAACTTCAATCGAACCAACTTTCTGATGCTGAGAGCCTCACTAACAGTAACAGCACACATGGAAGTGCCGAAGTTTGTTCATGTCCCACTAATCTACCAAAGTGTCCTTGCTGGTTGGTCAAGAAGCTATTGCGGCGGCCTTCATAACTCCCGCGGTTGATGGGTTTTTAAACCCAATGCCAAACCAATGATGAAATCAATGACTTCAAAATTTCTTAATAGTGTTCACAATAAATAAACCCTAGCCTAACTTTGAAGATAATGCCAAATTAATCTGGTGCTGTAAACAACCAAGCCAATAGCGGTACTTTTGAAGATAGGATTCTACATCATACTTAAATAATTAAATTTCAGTTACTGGTCTGTGTGTCAGCCAGCCCATCAGTGTGAAAAAGCAATGTGCCAACACTTGCTTAATAAATGAGTATTCTCAAGTGATATTTGCCTTTAAGTTTGGTTTGGTTTAGGTCTTGAGGACTATCAACCTCTGGAGGGTTAAAGACACAAGTTGCTACCTGGCCAACCACCAACTATACTTTAGTCCTGAACACAGTACATTCCTAATGTATACTTTCACTATATATATTCAAGCACCAAGAAGTTGGAGGGAAGGGCGTTTTGTGTCTTTAAACTATGGATATTTTGATCAACTCGGCACTACTCTAAGACTCACAACCAGTTTGTGATTATTAAACTTTCACAAACTGTTAATAGCATACAAATACACATAAAAGAGGTGGCCAGGATAATATCAGCAGTTCGACGCCTGCAACATATGCATTTCAATTGAGCCAGAATAACACAGCAACTGGTAGTGTGCTGGTAGCTGGTAGCTGGTAGCTGGTAGCTGGTAGCAGCTGGTAGCTGGTAGCAGCTGGTAGCTTCAGACCAGACCCATTTCTCAACAAGTATAACAAATTCAAAAGATTTGGTCAGAAACAAATGCCGATATATAAATAATAAGTTGTATTATAGAGAAGAAAACCCTGATTTCTGACATTCAACTGCAATAATATAAAAAATTATATAGCCTTATGATAGTAAATTGTAATCAAGATGATTGAATGACACAAACAAAATATGATCGATTATGATGGCAAGTCAATTACAGCACAAACATAGAATGTTAAAGTGAGAGTTAAAGGTAACTGATCCAGTGATAAACGGTAGTGAACTGAATGAATGAATGATTAATAATAACTACTAACATACGCTACTCAGTTGCTAGCAATAATCATGGCTAGCATAAGTTACTGTGTAAACAGGACGGCTGTCATCACCACAGTGGAGGAAGGTGGTCAATGCGTAAACCACCACACCGTAATGAGACATTAACAGGCATTTACCACACATTCTCACCAGCTGTTAGCAGAATGCACATCATTCTCACCAGCTGTTAGCAGAATGCACATCATTCTCACCAGCTGTTAGCAGAATGCACATCATTCTCACCAGCTGTTAGCAGAATGCACATCATTCTCACCAGCTGTTAGCAGAATGCACATCATTCTCACCAGCTGTTAGCAGAATGCACATCATTCTCACCAGCTGTTAGCAGAATGCACATCATTCTCACCAGCTATTAGCAGAATGCACATCATTCTCACCAGCTGTTAGCAGAATGCACATCATTCTCACCAGCTGTTAGCAGAATGCACATCATTCTCACCAGCTATTAGCAGAATGCACATCATTCTTCATGTCTTAGACAACACTACACCTGTCCTATTCTATTTACAAACTTAGAAATATGGCTGCTACTCTTGCAGGCTTGTACGAGATACAAGCCGACTAAGACGACATTAATCAACATTTGCTTGCATATTTTTTTTGGTAAAATATATTTGACGTAAGAATATTTTGGGGGGGTAGATGGCAAGAACAGTTATAGGTACACAATGACTGACTACCATGATGGCAGGTGCGATTGGTACCCAAACAGTTACAGCAGCACTCGGTACATGTATGGCAGCAAAAGTCCGAATTACCTGTATTTACGCAGGCGTTGAGTCACAATAACGTGGCTGAAGATATAATAACCAAACCACACATCACAAGATGGAGAAACGGCGACGTGTCGGTCCGTCCTGGACCCTTATCAAGCCGTGTGTGAACGTAAGACACACACACACACACACACACACACACACACACACACACACACACACACACACACACACACACACACACGACTTGATAAATGGTCCACGACGGATCGAAGCGTCGTCGTTCCTTCATCTTCTGATGTGTGGTCTGGTCGTCATACCTGTATTTACATTACCAATGCCAGTCACTAAGAACAGACTAGGAGACCAGATACGGTATTTACAAAGGTCGCCGCTGGGACGGACATCTGAGCTGCTGATTCCACTTTTAATGCAGCAAATAGAATCATTGAGCAATTCATGTTTTTCAATGCAGGAAAACATCTTAAATTTCTTCTAAATGGCACTAATTATTTTAGAGGTTAAGAGGATATCCAAACGGAAAATGAGGTAGAAACAAACTTGAGAGGAGTTAGATGGTCGTAGACGAATAATATATGTTGCTATAGAAGGACCACATGTGGTGCTATAGAGAGGGAGGGAATTATCCGGGGAAAGCTCCAAGCCATTACGACTATATAGCACTTGGAAGAGGTCAAGATAAGGATTAGGGATGGGACGGGGGAAGGAATAGTGCACAACCACTTGGACAGTTGGGGATTGAACGTCGGCCAGCATGAAGCGAGACTGTCGCTCTACCGTCCACTCAAAATGGTTGGGCTAGAAGGACAGGGAACTAGGCTATAAAGTGGGAGAATCCACTGAGAAAACAAAGACACATTTTCTTCCATGGTGTGTTCCATCAATGATGTTTAGTGACTGGTAATACATAGGGTCATTTTACATAAGTTATTCAATTTAACATCACAGCTCTTAGAGAATTTGCACCAATTGCCGCATACAGTTACCGAAGCCCTGTCTTAATATATGTAATATATACTTTACGAACTAGGCCGAGTGGGTATGTCTCTTGTATAGCCTCGATAATAGAGGAGAAATATGAGATCTTTTATCTAGATTTGGAGTTCGACTGCTCCTTAGCGTGCTTCTTTTCTTCAAGACTTTTTTCTTGTTTTCTGGATCACTTTCCTCTTCAATTTGCAGCTTTTTAATTGTATGATCTTCTTTGTGGTCAGTTTTGTTTTTATCAAGTTCTGTTTTGATGACTTTGTAGTCGGTGATATTTTTATTAAGTTCTGTTTTGATGACTGTGGTATTTGTATCAAGTTCTGTTTTGTTGACTTTGTGGTCGGTGCTATTTTTATCAAGTTCTGTTTTGTTGACTTCGTAGTCGGTGGTATTTTTATCAAGTTCTGTTTTGTTGACTTCGTAGTCGGTGCTATTTTTATCAAGTTCTGTTTTGTTGACTTTGTGGTCGGTGCTATTTTTATCAAGTTCTGTTTTGTTGACTTCGTAGTCGGTGGTATTTTTATCAAGTTCTGTTTTGTTGACTTCGTAGTCGGTGCTATTTTTATCAAGTTCTGTTTTGTTGACTTCGTAGTCGGTGCTATTTTTATCAAGTTCTGTTTTGATGACTTCGTAGTCAGTGCTATTTTTATTAAGTTCTGTTTTGATGACTTTGTGGTCGGTGCTATTTTTATTAAGTTCTGTTTTGATGACTTTGTGGTCGGTGATATTTGTATCAAGTTCTGTTTTGTTGACTTTGTCTTTTTGCACATCAACACCACCTTCAATCTTGAATTGGTCTGGATCCTCTTTAGTTTTTATATTTTTCTTAATATTTTGTATTTCTTCATTTTCAGTAACATTATCTTCATAGTTTTTGTTTAAACCTTTATACTTCACCTGAGCAGAGTTCTCTGCCTGTGTAAAGACCCTAGGTTGTCTGGGAATGCCATCGCCAATACGATTACCTCTTGGGATCACCGAGACGTCAGCTTCACCCATTCTCTTCAAGGCCACGTTTGAAACCGTGTCAAGTTGAGCCGATTGCAGCTTCTTCAGGTCCTCGGTGTTGTGAGACAAGAGCGCAACGCTGTCGAAGTTGCCTACCCCGGAGAGAGTCAGCTGGGCAGCGTTGATCTTACGGTAACTCAGGGCCATAGGTAGGTTGGCATCGTAGCTATTGGGGGAGTTTTCACAGTTGACGTAGTACCAATAGTTGCACTGCAAGATGGACTGGTCGAACAAGGTCATGTTCGGGCACAAGAAACTGGTCATGGTGTTGCCCATGGCAGCGGGGAGACACAAGTGGAACACCTGGGGGGAAGAAACAGGGGTATATGAGTGGTTTGTAACACTAGTGGTGGGTATATAATATGACAATGAATGCAGACGACGAGTCACAATAACGTGGCAGAAAATATGATGACCAAACCACACATCACAAGATGGAGAAGCGACAACGTTTCGGTCCGTCCTGGACCAATATCAAGTCGTACGTCCCACACACGACTTGATAATGGTCCAGAACGGACCGAAACGTCGTCGTTTCTCCATCTTCTGATGTGTGGTTTCCTCATCATGGGGCATGAATCATGAAAGCTCTTGCCAATCTACTGAGACTGAGTAAAGGCACATTGCCCCAAGGAATATAATCTAACGTGGCATAGATCTATATTCAGAAATAATGAACAACCCGAATACACTGTTATAGGCTCACAACAGATGTAGTCATTGCTTGTAGCTAAGTGCGAAAGGTTTTATTAATTTTATATACTACTATAATTACAGAAAAGCAACGACAAAGATAACAGTTTAAAGAAGAATATTAATATCGAGCGTTGATAAAAGGTTCTATTTACCTTGCAGCCTAACTGTGTGTCAGCGTAGATACCGGGCAGGTATTTCTGCTCCTCGCAGAAGAATCTAGTTCTTGGCACTTCGACGTGTTCATGGAAGCCGTAGATGTCTCGCGTGGGCGAGTAACCTGGAGGATGAAATTCTTCGGGAGCCTCACGAACCACGAACATCTTAGCAGCGAAGGATGGGACGTGATCCGTGTCCGCTGGCGTGTCCGAATTCAACTGACGAGAGAAAGGAAAAAGTTCAGTCAGTTGCAACTGATGTGTTAAGTCTGACAAGCATTTTATTCTCATTACCCAATGAACTGTAGAACTCCACATTCTGCCTCTGTCACAGTTCCTTCGTTTAAGTGTATCAAATGAGTTATAAATATCTATAGACTCTCTACACACAAAAATCACAATAGCGTGATGCATCAAATGAAGTTTAGATGAAGGCGCGTCTGGGATCCTCTCGGACGTAGGTTCGAACCCTCATCACGGCCCTTATGGATTTGTTCAATATCTATAGATATAAAACGTGCTTCATTGTTATTGATTTGTTTTAATAGTCTGTAAAGGTGGGATAAAAATTTTGCGAAATAAAATATATGTATTCTATTATTATATGATTTAATGTACCACTAAACAAATTCCTCACAAAGCCTCGTCTTGCGTTTTCTTTGAGATAAAAACTAGACATTTCAAGTCAGGTATGAAATCATAGAACATATAAAGATTACCAATCAAAATAAGGGTTTTAGGTCTTTGTTTAATTAACTGATCTTCGTTATCTACTCTTAAACTATTCTTAAAACTAAACTACCCAGCTGAGCACTTTAATCTCAGACTAAACTACCCAGCTGAGCACTTTATCTCAGACTAAACTACCCAGCTGAGCACTTTATCTCAGACTAAACTACCCAGCTGAGCACTTTATCTCAGACTAAACTACCCAGCTGAGCACTTTATCTCAGACTAAACTACCCAGCTGAGCACTTTATCTCAGACTAAACTACCCAGCTGAGCAATTTATCTCAGACTAAACTACCCAGCTGAGCAATTTATCTCAGACTAAACTACCCAGCTGAGCAATTTATCTCAGACTAAACTACCCAGCTAAGCACTTTATCTCAGACTAAACTACCCAGCTGAGCACTTTATCTCAGACTAAACTACCCAGCTGAGCACTTTATCTCAGACTAAACTACCCAGCTGAGCAATTTATCTCAGACTAAACTACCCAGCTGAGCAATTTATCTCAGACTAAACTACTCAGATAAGCACCTTATCTCAGACTTATACAAAAATGCACCATATAGTAAATGACTGATTACCATTAAGAATACGACATAATACATTGTATAAATCTAGAATATATTAATTAAGACTCCATGACATACCTTGAGCACCTCACCCAAGATGGGACCAACTGTGGGCCCACGTGTGGGAGGCTGAGTGTGGGGAGAAGACGAGGCGTGATCAAAGCTGACTTGAGGAACTTGATCACTACTGCTCAAGAAATACTGCTCCTGCTCCTGCTGGTGTTGAAAGGGTGGTGGACCGTGAGCAATCACCTGAGGTTGAGGTTGGGAACTTCCCCCGAAAGGATTCATGATGCTATCTAGGAATGGGATCCTCCAGCCGCTTTGCTGTGGACGTCTACGTAGGCTCGGGTGCAATGGACGGTTTTGCGGGGGAGATTGAGGGCTGAATAAGCCAAAAAAACTCTGTCGCCGACTGGCTTCTGGTAATGGCGGGGGTCGCAGCCTGAAGGCTGGACCAGGCCTGTAACAAGAGAACATATATGAAGTTAATTTGATGTTTAATAGTAAGTGAAAAATATTGAACACAACTTGATTTTGAGGATGACAGCGCTAATCCGAAGATTAGAAATTTCACAACATTCACCAAATGTATTGGGTTAGATTTTCTTCAACAACAAATTGTAAAAGAATTTTTAATAGAAACATTATTGAATCTACTTTAATACAAATTACAAAGCCATACAATGTGAACATTGGTAATGGTTTGTATTATTTTTTATCAATTTTTAATTTTTCAATTAAAAACGATTTTAGGAAAATCATTAATACAGTTATCTCATTAAGGATGTCACTTCCTGGAGCTCACATGTATTGGTAATTAGGGCTTCTACAGCTTCCTCTTGTTCTTATGTCTATGAACCAATTTTACAAAACCATTGTTTTCACTTCACATGTATGCTGCCTGCCTATAACTTACCACTCTTACTTAAACTTACTTCCAACCACTTGAGCTGGACAGTAGAGCGACGTTTTCCTTTGTTTAGTTTGCTTCATGCAGGTCGGCGTTCAATCCCCGACCGTCCAAGTGGTTGGGCACCATTCCTCCCCCCCCCCGCCCCCGTCCCATCCCAAACCCCTTTCCTGAACCCTTCCAAGTGCTGTATAGTCATAATGGCTTGGCGCTTTTCACTGATAGTTCCCTTCCCTTCTGCCCATTTGTTTCCGCCTTCTCCAGGGATCGAACCCGGGCCTTTAGGACTATGACTCCCGAGCGCTGTGCACTCAGTCACAAGGCCCACACACTCTACTCACCTAGTTGTGCTTGCGGGGGTTGAGCTCTGGATCTTTGGTCCCGCCTCTCAACTGTCAATCAACTGGTGTAGAGATTCCTGAGCCTACTGGGTTCTATCATATCTACATTTGAAACTATGTATGGAATCAGCCTCCACCACATCACCGCCTAATGCATTCCATTTGTTAACTACTCTGACACTGAAAAAATTCTTTCTAATGTCTCTGTGGCTCATCTGGGTACTAAGTTTCCACCTGTGTCCCCCTTGTTCGTGTCTCACCCATGCTGAAGAGTTTGTCTTTGTCCACCCTGTCAATTCCCCTGAGAATTTTGTAGGTGGTTATCATGTCTCCCCTTACTCTTCTGTTTTCCAGGGACGTGAGCTTCAACCTTTCCTCGTAGCTCATACCTCTCAGTCCCGGAATGCGTGTGTGTAATTACCTAGGTGTGGATACAGGATGAGCGCTACGCTCGTGGTATCCCGTCTTCCCAGCACTCTTTGTCATATATCGCTTTGAAACTACTGACGGTTTAGGCCTCCACCACCTTCTCGCCTAACTTGTCCCAACTGTCTACCACTCTGTTTGCAAAAGGAAACTTTCTAATATTTTTTGGTCATCTTTGTTTCCTTAGCTTGAATCTGTGTCCTCTTGCTCTTGAAGTTACCGGTTTCAGGAATTCCTCTTTGTCAATTAGGTTAATTCCCATTATCTTTAACTGGTGATCATATCGCCTCGTTTTCTTATATCTTGCAGCTTTGGGACATTTGGTGTGTGAGTGTGTATGAGGAGGAGTGTACATACCTGACTCGGCGTCTCTGGGGAAGTATGCCCTCATCTTCCCTCCTCTCAGCCGGCGGGAGACCCTCAGAGTTCCGCGCTGTGTTGTCCTGTTGGGGCACGAACGGTTAGAGGGAAATATATCTCTACATTTTCTTCCTCTCACTTTTATCAAATTTTGTAGCTTCTCTTTATCACGAGTCTCATCCTCAGTGCCTCTCTCTCTCTCTCTCTCTCTCTCTCTCTCTCTCTCTCTCTCTCTCTCTCTCTCTCTCTCTCTCTCTCTCTCTCTCTCTCTCTCTCTCTCTGGCTCTCTCTCTCTCTCTCTCTCTCTCTGGCTCTCTCTCTCTCTCTCTCTCTCTCTCTCTCTCTCTCTCTCTCTCTCTCTCTCTCTCTCTCTCTCTCTCTCTCTCTCTCTCTCTGGCTCTCTCTCTAGCTCTCTCTCTGGCTCTCTCTCTGGCTCTCTCTTTGGCTCTCTCTTTGGCTCTCTCTTTGGCTCTCTCTTTGACTCTCTCTTTGTCTCTCTCTTTGTCTCTCTTTGGCTCTCTCTTTGGCTCTCTCTTTGTCTCTCTCTCTCTCTCTCTCTCTCTCTCTCTCTCTCTCTCTCTCTCTCTCTCTCTCTATAAACCATTGCTTCACCCCGTCCTCACATTCCAGTTACTATCCGATCCTACTCTCCCTTCTATACGCCCGTTCTCGCACTTGCTTATAGTCAATATTTTGCTTATGAATAAGTACATATGTGATATACTAATTTATTGTGAATATTTGAGTTTACCTCAAAAGCTGAATAGAAAACCCACGACCTAACCTAACCTTCTTAGTATATTAAGTACTATACAGTACTAGGTTTGCACTATTGCCCGATAATTGCCGGACTTTATACCTCTCTGTCCCCCGGACTTACATTCCGCTTGTGGTAGCCGCCTGCAGTGTTGTGGATGGACTGTGGGAAACCTTTCTCATCGCCGAAGCCAAATCCTGAAACAACATATATCCCCGGTTAGTTTTGTGGTGGTTGTATAAGGTGGGGTATTGATTGTGGTGGTGACAGTAACTTTGATTGTGGTTACGGCAGGGGTTGTGACTGATTGTGGTAGTGGTTGTGAGTGGCGGCAATATTTGTTTTGGCTGTGGTTGTAGCTGAGGTAGTGGTTGTGGCTGTGGTAGTGATTGTGGTAGTGGTAATGGTTTTGGCTGAGGTAGTGGTTGTAGCTGTGGTAGTGGTTGTGGTAGTGGTAATGGTTTTCGCTGAGGTAGTGACTGAGGCTGTGGTTGTGATAGTGGTTGCAGGTGTGGTAGTGGTTGTGACTGCAGTAGTGATTGTGAATGTGAATAAAGGTGTTGTTATGGTTGTGAATATCATGGAAATGGCTATAGGTGTTGTAGTGGTTGTGCAAGCTGTATTAAGGGTCATGGGTATTGCAAGTAAAGGAAACAGTCCTCATCTTAATTCCAATACATTAAGACCACGAGCATGACGCCCGTTGACCCTAATATGCTTGTGGAGGTTTATAGTCTTGAGTAGATGTCATTGAGTAGATGTCATTGAGTAGATGTCATAGTAAGACGTTGTGTAGATAACGTCAATATTGTTTACAAAACATCAATATTACGTAGAAAACGTCAATATTGTTTAGAAATCGTCAATATTACGTAGAAAACGTCAATATTGTTTAGAAATCGTCAATATTTTGCTTAGAAAACGTCAATATTGTTTAGAAATCGTCAATATTTTGCTTAGAAAACGTCAATATTGTTTAGAAAACGTCAATATTTTGCTTAGAAAACGTCAATATTGTTTAGAAAACGTCAATATTTTGCTTAGAAAACGTCAATATTGTTTAGAAAACGTCAATATTTTGCTTAGAAAACGTCAATATTGTTTAGAAAACGTCAATATTTTGCTTAGAAAACGTCAATATTGTTTAGAAATCGTCAATATTTTGCTTAGAAAACGTCAATATTGTTTAGAAATCGTCAATATTTTGCTTAGAAAACGTCAATATTGTTTAGAAATCGTCAATATTTTGCTTAGAAAACGTCAATATTGTTTAGAAATCGTCAATATTTTGCTTAGAAAACGTCAATATTGTTTAGAAATCGTCAATATTTTGCTTAGAAAACGTCAATATTGTTTAGAAAACGTCAATATTTTGCTTAGAAAACGTCAATATTGTTTAGAAAACGTCAATATTTTGCTTAGAAAACGTCAATATTGTTTAGAAAACGTCAATATTTTGCTTAGAAAACGTCAATATTGTTTAGAAAACGTCAATATTTTGCTTAGAAAACGTCAATATTGTTTAGAAAACGTCAATATTTTGCTTAGAAAACGTCAATATTGTTTAGAAAACGTCAATATTTTGCTTAGAAAACGTCAATATTGTTTAGAAAACGTCAATATTGTGTAAAAAAAAAAAAAGTCAATATTACTAACTCTAATTTTTACAAATAAAGTCGGATTTTTAACGGATTGGTCGAATCCGTAAAGGAACGCGACGTATTAGGTAAAGGAAAACGGGTTGAGAATCATCACTATTTTGAAACGTTGAATGACTGAAGAAAAATATTTATAATTTTGTTACGAGATTGTGTTTCAGTTCTTGGGATACATACGCTCTCAATATAACATTTAAATGTCCTGCTTCAGCTCTTGGGCTCCTACAAATAGGATCGACATTCATCATTTCACAGGGCGGGGACAAGCTACGATCTTGAGTAGGGTAAGGAGTAGGATCTTGAGGAGTAGGGTAAGGAGTAGGGTAAGGAGTAGGGTAAGGAGTAGGATCTTGAGGAGTAGGGTAAGGAGTAGGATCTTGAGGAGTAGGGTAAGGAGTAGGATCTTGAGGAGTAGGGTAAGGAGTAGGATCTTGAGGAGTAGGGTAAGGAGTAGGATCTTGAGGAGTAGGGTAAGGAGTAGGATCTTGAGGAGTAGGGTAAGGAGTAGGATCTTGAGGAGTAGGGTAAGGAGTAGGATCTTGAGGAGTAGGGTAAGGAGTAGGATCTTGAGGAGTAGGGTAAGGAGTAGGATCTTGAGGAGTAGGGTAAGGAGTAGGATCTTGAGGAGTAGGGTAAGGAGTAGGATCTTGAGGAGTAGGGTAAGGAGTAGGATCTTGAGGAGTAGGGTAAGGAGTAGGATCTTGAGGAGTAGGGTAAGGAGTAGGATCTTGAGGAGTAGGGTAAGGAGTAGGATCTTGAGTAGGGTAAAAAGTAGGAGTTACCTAATCGAATTTTCACACAATTAATTTCTATTGACCATTCTTGTCTCTCCAGGAGACACAGTAACTAAAAGCGACGTTGGTTCGACGTTAATTCAACGCTGAATGGGCGTTGTCCCTGTATATTGTAGGCCATTATAGGGTGGGTCAGACGTTAGCTCCTGGGCCCCTATACAACACCCCCTAATCTGGACAAATGATGTTCATTTAACGAAGCAACGTTGATGACGCTGATTCTATGTTGATTCTTGATCCTAAGTTGATTTACCCTTGATTCTACGTTAGTTCAACGATGATTCTTATGTTAATTCAACGTTAATTCTAAGTTGATTCAACGTCGTTCTACGTCGATCCAATGTTGATTCAACGTCGTTCTAATGTTGATTCAACGTCGTTCAACGTCGATTCTGTTTCTTGAACATATTCTGCGCGCTTACTGTTTAGCTTTTCAACATCACTCCATATTATACGTGCATTGCTTTCAGCCAATCCCAATGCCCCATTCCCCCCTCCTCATATCAATTGGCTATACAAATGCCTTCCCGCCAAACACACACCGAAACTAAGCCGTTGGTACAACGTTCGAACAAGTTTTAACACCTCCTAACCAGTTATAACAACCAATATAGCAAGTTGTAACAACGTTCTAATACGTCATAAACACGTTAAGCCAAGATATAACAACTTTATTACAAGTTGTAACAAGCGTAAAATAGAGACAGTTTCGGTTTGTGTTTCCAGGGTTCAGTATCACAACAGATACTATAATATAAATTATGCCCTCAGCGTAAATCCGCCTTTTTTCCAACCACTTGGACTGGACGGTAGAGCGACGGTCTCGCTTCATGCAGGTCGGTGTTCAATCCCCGACCGTCCATAAGTGGTTGGCCACCATTCCTTTCCCCCGTCCCATCCCAAATCCTTATATCCTGACCCCGTTCCCAGTGCTATATAGTCGTAATGGCTTGGCGCCTTCCCTTGATAGTTCCCTTCCCCCTTCATCTATTCAATTGCTTCACCCTTATCACGCAGACGACGATGAGTCACAATAACGTGGCTGAAGATATGATGATCTAATTACGCATCACAAGGTGATGAGATGACGTTTCGGTCCATCGTGGACCATTATTGCATAAGACTTAATAATGGTCCAGTATGGACCGAAATGTTGTCGTTTCCCCATTTTCTAATGTGTGGTTCGGTCATATCTTAATCTTTTTATGTTCGTATAAAATGTACTTTTCTTATTAAATAGATATATTTATGTATTACTGAAGATACATATTTGAGGAGATAATCAAACTCTGAGATATACGAACACGTTCGTATATACAAAGTTACTTTAAAAATATTGAATTAACGCGATACGTTGTATGAACAATGGTGAAAATGGGATGAAAACCCAGACTTCGATATTTGTGAAATTTAGGTCAAGAATTACCCCCAAGTCTTTCACACACTCCTGAGTGCCTTGTCAAGGTCTGAGTGTGTGATTAGGCCGAGACTTACATCTCAACGTCTAATCAATTAGACTAGACGTTGGATTAGACGTTGATATGTAAGTCTCGACCTAACCATGCACTCAGACCTTGACAAAGCCCTCAGAATGCGAAAGACTTAGCGTAAATCTTTTACATAAATGTCACAAATACATAAGCATTGGTTCCAATTCAAATGTTTATTTAGGTAAAATACATACATACACGGGGTGATACAAAAATTGATGAATTTATAGATAAGAGCTAGTACATACAATGCCTAAAGCCACTATTACGCGTAGCGTTTCGGGCAGGTCCCTGGAATACGATCCCCGGCGCGAAGAATCGTTGTTACAACCAAGTACACATTTTACTGTTGAGTTAAACAGAGGCTACAGTTAAGGATTTGCGCCCAGTAAATCCTCCCCGGCCAGGATACGAACCCATGACAAAGCGCTCGCGGAACGCCAGGCGTGTCTTACCACTGCACCACGGAGACTGGTAAACCAGAGACTATTATCTCTGTGAGAAAACATTACCATTACTTAATGGTGAAAATAATAACCATACACAAACCCCTGTGAATAACATTGTTGGATTATGAGATGTCTTAGGAAAAGAATGACGTATTTAGGCGAAGGAAAAATATATCAACTTTGTACAAGTTTCTTAGGTAATTCCATACACGTAATTTATACATTTATATACAAAATGATTAACGAGAGAAAAGTGCTGAACTTTAAAGATATAATTGATGTCTTAATTAGTGTTACGTTATTAAATACTGATATCTAATGTCTTGGTCATTAATAATTTTTTGTGTATAAAATAATACAGTATACTTTTGTAAAAAAAAAGTATACTTGTCTCTCCTGTATAATGGATTCTTATAGATTTTAACATACACAAAAAATAACTTCAGCAGCTTTGATAAACAGTCATAATATAACTTGTATATAACATATATAGAGGTGAGTATATATTGGTGGTTATACTATATTACACATTTTTATTATAAGACTAAAAGTGAAAGTGAAAATGTGCAAACAATCAAATTGCGAACAAAACAACTATATTATTTTTTTTTTTGTCTACAAAGGTGTTGGTAAGTTATTAGTTTGCAAGAACAGGAACTTATGTTTCTAAAGAACATAATTTTCATGCTTTTAAAGCAGACCAAAATGGAACTGAAGTGAAATATAAAAATTAAAGCCATTTCGAGAGATATTTGATAACCCATATATGTACATATCTGAAAACTGAAATTATACTACTAATTATACTACTAATTATACTACTAATATACTACTACTAGGACTAAAAGCACACACACACACGCACGCAACATAAGTGTCAAAATATACAAATAAAAGTCAAAGTCAGTGCAGTAATAAGTAAGTTAAAGCAAGTGCATATTATTTTTTTTTTAACCAAACCGGGACTCACCAAAATCAAAATTGGCTTTAAAGCCTCCGTAATCCTTGAGCCTGAAGAGGTAGGAATCTCTGATGCCGCAATCAATGCTCCACCCTCGTTTGTTGTCGATAACGCAGATGGCTCCGCACCAACCTGTTAGTCGCAAGACTATGGTTAGTTGCTCGTCCCTTGTGAGGGGGGGGGGGAGGGGGAGGCAGAGTGTGTGTGTGTGTGTGTGTGTGTGTGTGTGTGTGTGTGTGTGTGTGTGTGTGTGTGTGTGTGTGTGTGTGTGTGTGTGTGTGTGTGTGTGTGTGTGTGTGAACACGAAGATATGCACAATAAACCGAATTTTTCTAGTTATATATTTTTCTAATTTTTTTCCTTATGAAATGGTAAAGCTTTCCATTATGTTATATATGATTCAATTTTGTTTTAATTCGAGTTAAAACTAACATAGAAATACGACCAAACCTACCTAACCTAAACCAACATAACTCACGTTCTTATATATATATATATATATATATATATATATATATATATATATATATATATATATATATATATATATATATATAAATATATATGTATACATACAAAAGAATGGGGGTGGTAGGAGAAGATAATATTAGTGTTCAGTGAGAAACCACAAGGTCTCCTCTGAATACTTTTTATTTTCTTCTCCGAGGCTATGGGTCCCCACATTGGCACCAGAGGTGGTACCATAAAAAAAAAAAAAAAATATATATATATATATCATTTCTTTATTAAAATCGTATTACAAGTGTGTTCGCAGTCCAAAATCACGTCAATAGATGGCGCAGCATGTCATCTACTGACATGCATGTTATTAAGTTATATTATCTTGTCTTTACAAGTGTTGTGGGGAAAGGGGGGGAGGACCTGTCTACGTGTGTGTTATGAGGCATCCATCTACAAGCGTGTTAGGAAGTATGGCATATATTTACATGCAGGCTATGAAGGTATAATATTTACTACTTACATGTGTTATCAAGTACGTTAACCTCAGTCCCGAAGTATATTATGTAACATGAATATGTAAATCGGCGGAATACTATGTACAAATATTTGACAAACCACTAGGCCTAATTTACAAGAATTACACATCTATGCATTACTCAAAAAAAAAAATATATATATAAATTAATCGCAAGGAACTCTTTTTAATAATCCACCTGTCCTTTCTGAGGACAGGTTGTAACATAATGGTGTCCCTGCATAAACATACACGGATATATATAGCGAATATTATATAAACAGATGCTAGCCTCTCATTTATCAAGAGGTAAACTACGGTGAGGCTTTTATATCGCAGAGAATGAGGCGCCCAATAGTCTTAGCAATATATATATATATATATATATATATATATTTCTTTAAACCTTTAATCAGTAGCATCAGAGAAAATATTGATACTTTATTTTACAACAGCGGATACCCTTCATATCACATCTCTCCATGCCCACAGGAATAACGAAAATTCTTTGAGAAGTCGCGTGTTACAACAAATATTATGATTTGGTAGTCAATTCTATAACCACGTACGTCAACAATTTCCAACTTGGAAAAAAAAAAACACTTGAATCAACTGAGAGACTCCTGAGCGTCTCATTCTTCCTCGTCAACTTCTTCTATAAAGAATATGCTTCTAGCGTTTCCTCCCAACCCTTTAAGAACCACCAAACTCTTCCCTCGACACTTCAAGGGCTACCACTACCCGCCTCCCACAACATAATAGGAGCCATCAACCACCTACAATAAGTTCGGACTCGTCATCATCTTGGAGAGCAATGTTATTAGGCCAATGCTAGGCTTTCTCCTCTCTCTCTCTCTCTCTCTCTCTCTCCTTTAGCTCTGTATTCCCCCAAAACAACAACAATGACCGCCACACAAGCGACTTTCTTCCAGGGTTGAGGTGTAGCAGGTGCAACTTGAAGCTGCTTTATCCGGAGTGTTGGGGGCAAGTGAGAGTAGAAGATGCCAGTCTCATTCAAGGTATGTGAAGTGAAGTTGTACGTCTACATAACAGCAAGGCTTTAACATCATTAAAATGCGCAAACCAAGAATATTCTAAGAGGACATAAATGTGACATCTAATACACCATGTTTGCAACTTGCAAAAGGCCTCCCTCTAGACAAATGACTCACAAGGAGCTCTGTCCAAAGCCCATATTACGATTATCAATACGGTTGAGGTTATATTCTTAAGACTATGGACTGGCATTTATGCTTCACGGAATACTGTCTAGAGAGTATTCATCTACCTTTCTACACTAAACTCAATATAACGACCAGACCATACACTAGAAGGTGAAGGGACGACGACGTTTCGGTCCGTCCTGGACCATTCTCAAGTCGATTGTGGACCATTCTCACAATCGATTTGAGAATGGTCCAGGACGGACCGAAACGTCGTCGTCCCTTCACTTTCTAGTGTGTGGTCTGGTTATCATACTTCAGCCACGTTATTGTGACTCATCGCCTGCAAACTCAATATAATTACCAATCGCTCTACCAAATATATTTTAATTTCATTTTGGAGACTAATGCACACTATAAGGCAATGTTAAGATAGAATAGCCCAAGCATTACGGTATAATTAGTTTAATTTGAGTTAAAGAGTTTCATAGGGTACATTTAGGGTCTCGGTAGTAGAGTTGGGTTCGTTCTTAACTCACAATCGTGAATCCCAGGTTCGAATCCCAAGTGAAACAAATATTTGGACACGTTTTCTATCACCTAATGCCTCTGTTCACCTCACAGTAAATAGGGGGAGTTAGCTTGTTGTGGGGTTCTTCCTGAAGAGGGTCAGCAGTTCGACCTTGAGGGGGGAAGGGGAACCTCGATATAAACCTAACATATATATATATATATATATATATATATATATATATATATATATATATATATATATATATATATATATATATATATATATATATATATATATATATATAGGCTGCCTGTCCCCGACAAAAATTTATATAAAAAAATAATTACCTACTTGGGTTAGGTTGAGTTCGATAGAGGCTACATTTAGCTTGGTTAGGTGAGTGGAGGTTATGTTGGGTAAAAGAACTCGCTCTTACTTGCTCCCAACACATACACACTACATGAACTTCTCAGTGTGGGAAGATGACATTCAGTCTCTTCATCCCAAGCAAGTAGCGTGTGATTCCCCAGTTACTTTGCTACTTGTTGCCCTTCTGCAGTGCTTGTGGAAACAAAGGTTCATATCTTGCATTGCAACAATATCTTACTGCAGGCAAGCCATCAATGTGGACGAAAATCCCAACAAAACAGAAGATGGACCATTTACTTGAGCTTCACGTAAATGGTCTGTCACACAGACTGTCACTGACTGTCACACAGTCTTCAATAGTTTGTCTTTTCTGACTGTGAACTGTGACTCACTTGCATCCTAATCATGCACCGCCACATCTGCTATCACTTCACTAACGATACCTCTACTGCCGTCTCCTCCGGCTGAGGAAAGTTTGATAAAGACACGCACAGCCTCGCAGATGAACACAAGGTTTACCTTACTAATAAAGCATTCATCACCGGTAGCAACAAAAACTACTATTCACCAACGCTGCAAGGTGACCTCTCAGAGAACTCTCAGAGAATTGTATATATATACCAGTGATCGAATACAATTCCATTTCGTTCATAAGAGGTTAACCAAAGCATTTTGATGTGTTAAATGTACCTAACCCAATCCGATTTACCCAAAGCTATTTATCCTAACGCAACCTAATCTAGGCTAAGCCAACCTAAACTCGACATTTTCACGAAGCCTCGCGAGACATCGGAGAAGTTGATGCAACATTTTAGAAGAAATATTGACGAGTCAAAACAAGTCACGCATTATCAAAGGTCCGTAAATTCAAAACAATGAAAGAAAACAGAAAACTGTCAACAAACATTACCATTACCTGTTGACCAAACCACACACTAGAAGGTGAAGGGACGACGACGTTTCGGTCCGTCCTGGACCATTCTCAAGTCGATTCTCAAAAGTCGACTTGAGAATGGTCCAGGACGGACCGAAACGGCGTCGTCCCTTCAATTTCTAGTGTGTGGTCTGGTCAACATATTTTAGCCACGTTATTGTGACTCCTCGTCAGCATTACCATTCCCTATTTGTTTACAGTTAACAGTTTACCCAGACGGCGGTGACCAGAGACAATCTCAAGTTAATTGTCAAGAAAGTCATGTTCTTTAATCGCCAATAAATCCTTGTCCATGACTACCGAGACGACACAAAGTTTCTCAACGCAGAGCACGTTAGAAACTCAGGGATCTTCCAACCCTTACTCCAGTATCAGGAGATATCTATAGGAGTTACATCGTACGCAAGAGTGTTTTCCAACGGAGTTTACAATCTAACTAACCTTACCCAACCTAACGTTATCTCGCCCAAACCGCTTTAACCTAATTCAACGGAGCCTCAACTTCGACACCACCCTGTAGGTAGACTCGAATCCAGAGCACACTTGTTTACACACCTGGCATAACTAGTACGCGCTAACCGACTACACCAACACAGATCCTTCAAAAGGAACGGAAATTTCGAAGTATTTTCTCCAACATATTTCCTCTCTGGTGCCCTCGAGGAGTGGAGATGTTGGGGAAAATACACCGAAATTTCCCTTCCTTTTGAAAGGTCTGAGTTGGTGTAGTCAGTTAGCGCGTACTAGTTATGCCAGTTGTGTGAACAACTGTGCTCTCTGGGTTCGAGTCTACCTGCAGGGTGGTGTCTAAGATGTGTTTACCTCACTTGTGTGTTTAGGCATGCATATATATATATACACGATTTTGACAATCAGAAAACGAGTTACGTCAAACCGTTTTATGTACAATTTCACCAGCCCGTCCTCCTAAGGTTTCCCAAAGTAAAAAAAAAAAAAACAGTAAATTTAAAGTGTCCTTATCCTAACCTACCAGAAGACCCAAAACAGAAAACGGAACAGTATGTTACTTTCGCCAGCCGCTTCCATTTTCCAGTACGACAATTTTTGGCCTTTTGCAACACATACGGGCGAAAAACGACGCTCTTTGTATAAAGAAAAGTTGATTTGACAGTGTAATAGAGCTACGCTTTATAACATCTTGTAAGAGCTACACAT